TTACAACCAAGAAAAAAAAAAAAAAAAAGACTTATCTATTATAGAAGAACAATTTGATAATGCTGAAAAACATATAGCAACAAGGTATTTGGGAAATTTGATTGTGTTGAAACTCTAATGATTTATTTATGCATCCATTTATTTATATAGAAATTATTTATGTCCATTTATCTATATAGAAATTACTTCCCGCTTGGCTGGGCTTTAAAAGAAAACCAGGAATTTGGAAAGAAAGGTGGTGGAAAACATATGTCCAATAAAGTAGTTGAGTTATTAAAGACCTTTTTTCATACAGGTGATGCATGTAAAAGTGAACGATATACACCTAAAGAAATGCTTGAAGAATTGAAAAAAAACGTGGAAGTAGGTGAGTTGGAAGTAATTGACATACCAAAATTAAGTACAATTGAAAATTGGATTAGTAGGTATTCCAGACAGCACAAGGTTGCAGTTGCTAAAAAACAAATAAAATAACTAAATAAATAGTTTTTATTGTTTTTATTACTTTTCTCAAGTAAATCATAATAAGTGAATTTATTTTAATAGTATGTTTTTTTACCCATAATCCTGAGCCGATTCGGAAATTAAATTTGACAGGTAGAAAATAGATACAGTGTGTTAAGAAAAAAATTGGCCTCCGGAGATATAAAATTTAAAATGCATAATTTCCATATTAATTAAATAAATCATAACAAATCATTTTAGACAATAATAATTGACTCCGTAACTTAGTTTTAATTAAATTTATAACCTTTTAAACATCGTTTTTTGTGCTTTAAAAATGACTGCAAACAAGTTAAATTCTCAACGCCAAACTCTTGTACATTTTTGGAATAATGGAGTCCGATCTCAAAAGGAACTCCACAAAATTACTAATATCCCCCTCTCAACAATCAAGTATAATATCCAAAAATTAAAAAAAACTGGAGATGTTGCACATAGACGAAGCAATGGTCGTTCCAAAAAGATAGGTTTACGTGAATCACGTGACCTCGAGCAGTACATTCGCGAAGACAGTTCCCTATCTTTGCGAACCTTGGCTACTAAATTGTCCAAGGATGGAGTTAAAGTGTCCCATGTAACAGTTGGAGCACGATTAAAGGAGCTTGGTTACAAAAATAGTCTTCCAAATGGTACACCAATGCTCACTGCGGTCCAGAAGGCGAAGCGAGTTGAATGGGCCACAAATCACTTGAATGATCAATGGGAAAAGACCTTATTTTCCGATGAAACAGCCTTTCAGTTATTTAGAAATACAATATTACAGTGGTATAAGGGCCCTAGACCGATTAGACCTCTTCCCAAGAATCGGCAAAAAATTTTCACCTGGGGTGGATTTTGTGCTAAAGGCAAAACCACTTTACATTGCTTCACAGGGATCATGGATGCTAAATTTATATAGAGATTTTACAGCAGCATCTTCCAGAAGTTAGAAGGATGTTTGGAAGGAGGTGGAGATTTCAACAGGAT